CCACTTTGCAAAACAAACTTAAATTGAAAATATTACTGTTACATATGAAGCATGTCTTTTAAACTGCATGCTGCTTAAATGCAACACATTCAGTATGTTTTAAATTATTATGAACGCTGAAACTATTAATTATCATTTTTTATTTGTTACATTCATAGCAATGACAACAAAATTGTCTGTGTATGTTTATCAAATGGACAAGCCACAAGATAAATAGGGAATTTAAATAAATAGGTAAGACTCATCAACCTAAAACTTAAAAAACAAACTATTGTACATTATTAAAGAGTATTTGTTATTAACAACAATCAAGGCCTGGTTTTATAAAGCTACTCAGATGTTTAGATGTTTCATCTCATTTGTTTACCTTGATCCACTCTATACAATATTTAATAAAATATTCAATCATAATGTTATAGTACATAAAGTATATAGTATTAAAGTAAGAAGGTATGCCTTTCAGATACCATGCTAGACTGCTGAAATAGGTTTAGACCTTGTTTAAGTAGAAAGCTTAGTCCAAAAAGGATTAATTATACCAACATAATGCCAATTTAAGAAAACAGAAGGGAAGTTACTAAATATTCCCTGCAAAAATGTTGAAACTATATAGATAACGTGGTAAATGCCTACCGGTATAGAAACCTTAGCAAGCCATGGCACTTGACTGATATAAAAAAACATGGAAAAAAGAATAATAAAAAATGTTAGCTTGCCTTTAGGACAGTTGTTATCTTCTTTGCATCTGGTTCTATTTATGACTCATAGTTCCCATGCAAGCCATATGAGGCAACAGGCAGCCCTTTAACTTGGTTTGAGCTAGATATATCTATCAGGCTGACAGCCAAGTTAAGGAAATGAAACTACCCTCATACCTTATGTAAAACTGCATTCCCAGTGCAGTTAGATTTAATCAATATGCTGCAGCTCACTTCAGACAGATGTATGTAATGTCCTGTACAATTAATTAAATCCTACACCACTCTTCTTGGACAGTGCCATGAGGCATACCAGACCATAGTTTCAACTAATGAAGTGTCTTTTTCACAGGCTAGTTTGATCTGAAAGGATGCCAGGCATTTAAGACTTATTATCCCAGTTTTTCTTGCAGTAAAATGTTTTGGAGGGCTGTCCAGGTTTCTGATCTCACCTACTAAAGGAAATTTGTGGCTTTGGCTTTTGCACAAAGAGTCAGGTGGTCACGCTTTCTAATCCTCATATAGGTATCAGGTTTATTCAATTATACTTTTTTTTGGAAAAAACTTTGCTTGCTAATAATTAAATATAAAATTGTATATTATTTAACTAAAAAGCACAAAAGAAAAAAGAATACCTGCCAACATGAATGCCTAAACCCAGCTCTCAGCCTTTTAACTTGAACTTGAACTTTATTGCCATATGTAACCAGTACATGTACTGGTACAACGGAATTCTTACAGAAAGATTGTTAAAACAAGTGTAAAAACACAAAGTGCAGACAGTGTATCAAGACAATTTACCAACAAACAGTAGACAATGTACAAGTAAACGAGTAAACGGTTCAAATGTAAACAATGCAGACTTGTAAACAATGACTGGAGATGTGCAATAAATAAGAAATCATAATGACGTAGATGGTGTAGGTGTGGTCTGAGGGGCATGGCTAAATGTGTTCGCCAATTGCACTGCTTGTGGATAGAAGCTATGGAAGAATCTAATGGTAAGTGTCCGTATGCTCTTGTACCTCTTGCCTGAAGGCAGTGGGGTGAAGAGCTCATGCCCGGGGTGGTGACTGTCCTCTGTGATGGCCAGAATTCTACCACGGCAGCGGTCCTCATAGAGCTGTTTAATCTCGGTGAGACCACAGCCGATGATCTTCTGGGCCATATTGATCATTCTCTGCAGTGCCTTTTTTTTCTCAAGAAGAGGTGTTGCCATACCACACGGTGATCCCATTGGTGAAGATGCTCTCGAAGGTGCAGCGGCAGAAGTTCACCAACACAGGTACTGGCATCCCCCATCGCTTGAGGCACCTCAAGAAAAAGGCGCTGCTGAGCCTTCTTCATGATAGAGTCAGTGTTCACAGTCCAGGTTAGATCTTTAGAAATGTGAATTCCCAAAAACCTTAAGCTGGTGACTGTTTCCACTTCCGTTCCATCAATACTGAGTGGGCTGTGAGGGTGTTTTTTACAGAAAGAAAATCTTTATTTATTTTTGTGACATTGTATCCATAATACTTTGTGGGTCAGGGGAAGTCCTTAGTATTTACTCTCACTGAAAGCCAATATGAAGCTATATCTTTGCAGGTGTTTTCCTGTGTGTGTTTACACACAATTCTTTAAAGATACAGATCACAATAAGCTGTGTTTCCTGCAGTGTTGTGACTGAATTAGCCCAGTGGATTTACCATGTTTTGCTCAAGTGTGTATTTGATGCCCTCATAAGAGGTAACAAGATATTGTTTTATCTTGGAAATGTCCTAATGTTTTATATGAAATCATCTTTAATCTATAGTAAACAGAAAATCTGCTTCTATATAAGCCACTCCAACACCACATGTGCCTCATTTTGGTGAGTGGCGTTTAATGTGCTTGACTCATGTTGAGGAATATTCCATATACTGTGTACATGCAGTATATACATGCAGTATATATGCAGTATATAGTTGACTACGCTACCTAACATTTATAAAACTTGCTAGTACCCTTTTTTTCCTTGCCACAGGTATTCATCTCCCAGAATCACCAGTGCCTGTACAGACCTGCAAAAGAGCTTATATTAATTATTTAAGTGCCCTTTTTATTTTCTAACGGTTAACAGCATTCAACACTGTCTACTCAATGACCAGACCACACTATACTGTATAAGCACCATCTCCAAGGGTCATACATTCCAGATCAGAACAAGTACCCCATTGGACCCCAGTTACCAAACAACTATCCCAAAATATTGCACTCCAGCAGTTCTGTCCTCCTTGTAGTTCCTTTGGTAGTTCTTGGGCAGTCCAGTGCTGCAATCTCTTCCACAAACCCTCCTTCTTCCAAAAGTCTTTCATGTTCTCCCCTGACTGGGGCTTTTGAAGCCCTTATAACAAAATCTCTTGACACTTCCCCCAGGGTTGGAAGTGTCTCTGCAATGCTTTGGATATGGCCAGTACAGATGTGTACAGGTTAATGATGCATTGTTCACTGCACATTTTTCAACTTATTGACCTAAATGTCTGTATTTCCCCTCAATGCTCAATACAAACACAAATATGTTTCCCAGATTAGATTTGATTACATAGGATGGTTAGTCTTAGGGATGACTAATACTCAGGATGATATGTTTAATTTATTCATAAAATGATTATGTTTTTTTCATATAGGTAAAGATAGACAACAAATCTAATTGTTATATAAATGTGAAACACCTTTCTGCTAAGTTCTCAGTTACAGTGCTGGTGTTCTTAAAGCTTTTATTAAAGTTCATTTTAAAAACTAAAACATAAGCTACAAGGGTTTTAGTTTAAGGCCAAAGGTATGAGGCCACAAAATCCAAAAATAATGTCTGTAAATCATAGAAAATAGTATCTATCTATATCTTAAGACTAAAATAGTTTTACTTCTAATGAACTAAAAATGATGCTCATTCAGTCAAAGGTTGTGGTGGCTCAGTGGCACAGTAACCTAATGAATTTCTTTCTGATGTTATCATGAGAAAAATGAATTAGGTGACATAATTATCTTTGATTTCAAAGCTGTCAGACAGTATAGAAAAATAGCTATGTTTTGCTGAGTCCTTTGAGTGCATTCCAGATAAGCAGATGGTATTTACACAGCTGGGTGAAGGTCGCCATGCAGAGACACCCAGCTATGAAATAGCAGCATGTTATTCATTAGAATTATGGAGGCAACATTTTTTTTATTTAGAATCACAAAGTGTTCATCAACTTGACTTCATCATAATGAACCCTGTACTTCTATACAAGAGAACAGCAACAGTGCATGATTTCTCCAAAAAAAATACAGGTACATGAGACTTTTGCCTCTTATTCACACTGCCTCAGAGTGCCCACCAAAGACTGACCAGCCTGGAGAGTGACATGGTTCTGATTGACACACCTACAGTATATAAGCATTCTTATGCCCTTAATGTTGTGTTGCCTTCAAGCTTTGACTGTCACCTGTGCAGCTATCCCCAGACTAACTGAAAGGCGAGTATCAGCATTCAACATGTCTTTGTCAAAGCACACTGAGCAGAAGTCAGGTCAGCTAAGATTAAAATGATGTGAGTGGAAGTTTCTAGTTCACAGTTACAGCCATTTCTAAACAAAGAAAATCCACAACCATCCATATCACCACATCCACGATCCATGTTTAAACATGGAAATGTGATGACTATGTAAGTAGATGACAAAATATTTTCCATCAGAACAAACAGAAAGTGTAGTTTTTCATGGCCAGCTTGATCTTAAATGGAGAATTTCTTGTAAATTTGCTAGCACTCAGCAGCCATCAAAGTAATAATAAGTCATTATAATACCAGAAGGTGGAGGTTTTTAAGAACCATCCCATCTGCAGCTGTTCTAACTGGAGTTCTAACCCAATCAAATCTCCAAGGTTTTCTTCCACCAAGAGATGGCACTATAGATCTTTGGCAACATATTTATAAAGGCAAGGATAATACCTCAAAGGCCTGAGAATTGTGTCTCAGTAGATTTCAAATATAGTCTTTACTATTTATACATCTGTCTGGCAGTCCTCATCTTAAATACAGATCATTGTGAAGATCATGGGATAGAATAGAATAGAATCAATAGAATCTTGAAGTAAAGACAGGGATTACACTTCTCTCTCTAAACTTAATGCTGTTGTAGAGTTAATGATATCTGTAATTTCAAATACACTGATACACAAAGAACAATATTTTAAACATATATATATATAAACCAACCAACATTTTATTTAACATACCCTCTGCAGCAAGTGTCCACAGAGGGTTTCATGTGAACACAGAAAATCAGCTCTATAAAACAGAATTGCAGTAAGTGTATCAAACAGTAAGGTGATTAATAAGAAAAATAACCTGATAAATCAAACAATGTCTTCAAACAAGGTTTAAAAATGGATGCAGAGGAAGCATTCTTCACATATGCTGCCTGTTCATTCCCCAGTTTAGGCCAAAATATTCTACTAACAATATTCTTTTAAAAACAAACATTTTTATAACAAACATTCAGGAGAAAGGATAGATCCTAATCTAGCACAATACTGGAAAAGTCTGCATTGCCCATATGTATTTAAGTGCTGTATGTGCACTCAAACAAAAGCTCTAGTTACATAGAGTGAAAATGAGAACTGAGTTACATTTGTTTACTGAAGTGCAGGGAACTCCAATGTTTACTCCTTACTGCACCATTGCCTTTGGTTTCTGCCAACAGAAAACTCTATAGGAACTTATTCTAAAGAGGAACTTGTTTGGTCCCTGTTTCTGTAAACCAAAGAGAGAAAATGGGTACAGAAACACACAGATAAGACACACTCCTGATGCAATTTTCATCTAGTTAAAAAATAGTATTTTTGGTGGAGAATTTTTAAATTAACTTTTCACACATAACAATATACTTTAAAATATATATGTAACTTGGAAATGAAACTCAGACATGAACTTTTTTGGAAAAATGCTTCTGAAAGAAGTGTGCAAAATTAAATTTAACTTTTGTTTTAAGATTATAAAATAAATTATTAATTTCCATGTAAAAATGATTAATTTGGACAATGACACCATTTAATATGGTATCTAAGAACTAAAAGCAGCACACAGTACCATAAAATGTTCTCCATTACATTTCTACTATACTTTTGTATTATACAGATACTTGTTTTAAATTAAAGAGTATTTCAAAAGTATGTACAGCTTGGGATCAATTTGCTTGGGTACCTAAAAAAGTGGATTCTAACATTCCTTCATAGCTATTATATATATCTATTAGCTCCATCATGAAAGTAAGCACAAGTTAGCAGTGTTGGGTACTTCAAAATAAACCTCAATAAGCAATATGATGCTGATAAATGTTTGCTGCCCCCCCCAGCTTATGATATTAATGTCCACAGATTCACGTGGTAAAGTTAGTGGAAATTACTTTTCTATCCAATTTCAGGAAATGCTTGTTGTACTGGGAAACAATAAGGTTGCTGTACTGTACAAAGTTCATTCATGTAATGGACTAATTTCTGTATGTGACCCTATCCCAGGGTTGTTTACTATTGTTCTGATTTAAAATAAGACAAATACAACCAGAGTGTAAAGAGGGTGTAAAGATATTATTTGATCTGACTGTTTCTAATTTCAATGAAAGAAATCTACTTATACAGTATCAGGTATATCAGGTATAAACAAAACAGACCTTGACCTGCATAAAGGGTTTGATGTCATACAGTAGAAAGTACATACAGTACTACAACTATTATAATATTGGTAGCTAGCGGCATAAGAAACTCGTCTGACATAAAAAATTAGACAGTTTGCTTATTAAAAAATAAAAAGTGAAAATAAATACCCAGAAAACAACACAATGTATTTAATGCCAATACAAAAACTGGTTAATTTCCTTTCTGAACATTTTGGTATTTTATGAATATATTATTTACAGAACATAAACTCAAATCTTTCTCAAAGCTGTAATATCTGCACTTCATAATAACACTCATTAATCTTAAGAAAATTAGCTCTAAAGATAAAAGGTTGGTTTATGTTATGTACATTTTGCATAAATGTCTGTTTTATACTGTGTTTTCTTCATTTGACAGAAAAGGGAACAAACTCACCTCATTAGGAAAAACAACACCCATAATTACATGTATTGAAAGGTTTATGGAGTGTTTTATTCACAGTAAAACAGATCGCTGAGGGCTAACCTCCTGGCTACAGGACGCTGGCACCCCTGTGCAGTGTGAGGAGTGACCAAGAGGCAGCAGCACAGGTGGAGATGTGGAGGAGGAGAGATGCAAAAGAGATTGGAGAGAAGAAGAATTACGTTTAGTGTTTATAGTTTGAGGAAATGAAATCAAAAGTGATTACAAATGACTGACAGCTGAGGTTGACTGAACTTGGCTGTTGTCATCGCTCCCAAACTTTCATTACAAATACGCGCCTTCATTGTATTTTCTTCAAGCATTACACAAACTGGAATAAATTGTCAGAGAAGCTGTTTAAAGTTCCTTTACTAATATGTATATTGGTACATAAAGTACATACAATAATATGTACAATCTACAATACAAGTTTTACACTTTAGTTTAACAAATCCTACAAATTAAATACTGTATGTGTTTCAGAAGATTTCATATGGGTATATGGGGCATACAATAGTGAAATTTTTTCAAAGATTAGATTTTTTTCTTTAAAAAGAAACAATGTGGTATTTAATATAGCATTTTGCTAATTAATAATAATAATTGCTTACACTTATATAGCGCTTTTCTGGACACTCCACTCAAAACGCTTTACAGGTAATGGGGACTCCTCTTCACCACCACCAATAATAACATTAATTATTGCCATTAAGTCCTCAATTCATTATTATTAAAAATGCACACAAGAATAACCCTGGCCTCTGCTTTGAACAGTAGAGCAACATTGTTTTTCCATGAGTGGTGTCATGTGGATAAAACAAATGGTGATATTTCTGAAACATTTTCCACCTTTTGAGATATTGAAAGAGAAGTACAAATGTTTCCCACGCTGAGCACTGGTGCTGCATTAAAGGAGTCTTAGAATGAGTTCATGATACCTGCAAGGAGCATCCAGACATCCTATCTGGTATGTCTCTGGGTAGCTGGCTGAACATCCAAGGAACAGCCAAAATCCTAAAGGACAAAACTCTTTAAGAGAATGGAAAAATCTTTAGCAGCAGAGGCTTTTTTCCTGGCAAGAATATATCTCAAAAATGGAAAGCTTTCAGCAATTCCTAACAGCTGTTGCCATGAAAAAAAAAAGCTGTGCACAAATTCATCAGGCTTGTCCTAAATGCACAGAAAGTTGTGTTTCCCAACACAATTAAGGGAATCCATTTTATATACCAATAAAATCAGACTAAAACATATAGCCAAGATGTTCTGTTAATGGATACATATCATTCATATTCTGTACCTGAATCTCTAAACAAGAACCAGATGCAGTGCGTCATCATAACAGTCATATGATTATCTTTTATTTATTTTATTATTTTTGCACTGGTGTTGATGCTGGGAAAAAAATCATTGAGAAATGGCCAAGGGGAAAGGAGGGCAGTAAACAAAACAGAAGACTCAGTTCGGAAGACTGGCTTTGTAAAAGAAATTAAATGAATTGTTCATCGTTATGTTAACTGTAACAAGTAATGGAAGACATTCAATTAACACAGAAATTTGCCTTCAATTACTCTTACATCAAAAACAATTTCTTATTTTCATAATGAAATGTATGAGGTGAAAATGGGGAATGAAATAAAACGATTACATTTGTTTTTATTATTTTCTGTATAAAGATAAAAATAGAGATACAACATCTGTTGCTTAGCTGATTATTTCCTATCTGATTTTAGGCATGCCATTGTTGTGTGTTATGTATTGAGCTTAATGTCATTGCCTTGTTATTCTTTAAAAAAAGAAAATGTTACAACAGTAACACATAGTTATAATTCCATCCAGAACAAAAACAGGATTTATTAAATAGGTGAATGAAAGCACAGTTTTTGAAAAACAAGAATGCTTCCAATTAAACCTAAATTAATTTAGATACCATAGCCACCCCCACAATAACCTCAACACAAACATATTCAACAGCTAATTACAACTTTCTAAAACTAAACGGCTGGAAAGCACAATAGATAGCAATACAAATGCTTGCATGCAAGTCGTACTTCCATGAAATAAGAATGATCCCCAACATTTGATAATAGAGATGATGATAATGAATTCTAAAACATTTAAAAACACATTTCAGGTAACTGGAGTGAGATGATGAAATATTAATTTAGTTCTAGAATAAGCTTTGAATGAAAGAATAAAGCTACTGACAGCTTTGGAAATAAAACAGTAAATAAACCCTACAAAGTAAACAAAAACACTTTTATCAAACACGTCTGAAAGAACATAGAGTCCATAGGCTATCAGTTTGACATACTGTATTTTTCTCATGGAAAGAGATAGATCTGCTTTGAAGAGTTATTAAATGAAGAACAGAGCAGAACAGGCTTCAGGCATTCCACGTGATGCATTATGGACGTGGAAACCGAATTTAACTTCAAACTTGTTTTATGTTACCCAAACAAAATGCTATGTTTTAATTTAACATGAGGGAAGAGTGATAAAAATATATAGTGTTCCTACTGTAATATATTGAATGCGTAACAATGAATCAAGGCATGCATGTTCACTCCATAGCAAACACAAAAGGAATAAATGAAGCTTGCTGTTACAAATGATATGTTTCTTTTGTACTTTATCATCAACAATCTTTAATAACATTAAACATGGTTTCTACACAAACGTCAGGATCCTTTTCAAAATATTCATAATAAAACCTTCCCATATTGTGCTTATGTTTGTCATCTGTGTGGTCAGTACCAGATGATACATGAACCTTATGAGACTCCCACAGAAGTGCAGCCTCACTGTAACACACAGACAAACGCCCCCACACAGACGCACTTCACTGCAAGCCCACGCACAGCCCTTCACGTTTTCACACAAACCTACACATAGTCAGTGGGTTGGCAGGAAATGTACAACACTCCAGCATTCAGGGTGGTGACGGTGTCTTCTCAGCCCCCTTCCCTCCACACAGATCCTCCTGCATCCACCCCCAGCCCTCATACATCAGGGCTGACAGATGGAAAAAAAAAAA